GGGCAACTTGGTGAGACCTCATCTCTATAATAAATCACAAAAACTAGCCGGGCATGGTGGTGTGCGTCTGTAGTTCCAACTACTTGGAAGGCTGAGGCATAAGGATAGCCTGAGCCCCACAGGTCAAGGCTGCGGTGGCTGTGAGCATGCCACTGCACTCCAACCTGGGTGACAGAGTGAGACTCTGACTCAAAAAAACAAAAACAAAAACAAAAAAAAAGTCCGCGGGTCTTCCATTCCCTTTCAGATGTTCAGTCTACTTTAGGCAATTACAGAATTTTACCATCTCTGAAATTAATATGAAAGAAACTACACTTTCCATTATCCTCCAGGGTATGTAGAGCCAGGCAGCCTCAAATGTAGTCACCACCCCATGGCCTTCTGGGAATTGTAGTTCTCTATTCTTTATTTAAAAAATTGGTACCGATGGTCCCCAAATTATAATGGTTTGGGTTAAGAGTTTTTGACTTTATGATGGTATGAAAGCCATACACATTCAGTAGAAATACTACAATAAATTTTGGATTTTGATGAAATATTCAAGACTTTATTATAAAATAGGCTTGTATTGGATAATTTTGCCCAAATGGAAGCTAATATGAGTTTTCTGGGCATGTTTAAGGTAGACTAGGCTAAGATATGTTTGGTAGGTTAGGTGTATTAAATACATTTTTTTCTTTTTGTGAGTTGGAGTCTCATTCTGTCGCCCAGGCTGGAGTTCAGTGGCACGCTTATGATTGCCCCAGTGTCGACCTGCTGGGCTCCAGTGATCCTTCCGCCTCACCCTTCCAAGTAGCTGGAACTACAGGTGCCTGCTACCACACCTGGCTAATGTTTGATTTATTGTAGAGATGAGGTCTCGCCAAGTTGACTTGGCTGGTCTCGAACCCGCAGGCTCAGGCAATCCACTCGCCTCAGCCTCTGAAAGTGCTGGGATTATAGGATAAGCCACTGAGACCAGCCACATTTTTTTTTTTTTTTTTTTGAGTCAGTGTCTCACTCTGTCACCCAGGCTGGAGTGCAGTGGCATGATCACAACTTACTAAAACCTCAACTTCTTGGGCTCAGATGATCCCTCTGCCTTAGCCTCCCGAGTAGCTGGGACTACAGGCATGTATCACCATGTGTGGCTACGTTTTTCAATTTTTTATAGAGATGAGGTCTTGCTATGTTGCCCAGGCTGGTCTCCAACCCCTGGACCCAAGCAGTCCTCTTACCTCAGCCTCCTAAAAGCGCTAGGATTGCAGGTGTGAGCCACCACACCTGGCCTGCATTTTCTATTTGTGATATTTCACCTTACAGTGGACTTCTTGGTAGAAGAGCAACTGTATTGGTTTTGGCATAGACCATCGTCTACCTTTTTGTTTAAGGGGCCTCAGCTCAGCCCCTACCTGGTTTCCTCTTGAGTAGGTGCTGTGCTTCGATGGCAGTGATCTGGGACACAGTTGTGAAGACATGAGCACAGTGGGCTGCTGCCCGCTCCATGCAGTAGCGGTGATAGATTTGCCTCTCGCCTGCTTCCTTGTCCACATTGAACTGGGGGGGAGGGGAAGGCAGTCATGTTAGAGGGACTGGGGAGAAAACTGGAGATCTGAACTCCAGGATCCTGAAGGAGATTGGGGCTGGTAGCTGGTCTCCTGGGTCTGAGGGAGGGAGGCTGGGATGCCTAGACTCCTAGTCTGAAGGAGAAGGGACTGGGTCTGCACTCCTGGGTCTGAGGGAGGAAGGGCTGGGAGCCTGGACTTCTGGGTCTGAGGGAGGAGGGTCTGGGTCTGGACTTCTGGGTCTGAGGGAGGAGGGGCAGGGTCTGGACTTCTGGATCTGAAGGAGGAGGGGCTGAGAGCCTGGACTCCTGGGAGAAGAGGGAGCTTGATCCCCCTGGGCATCCAGAGCTTTGGGCTGTCCTGACATACTTGCAGTCCCCCACTTGCCACACCCCAGCTCACATTCTCCAGGTTGTTGTAGAAGTCCACAGCACCAGCACACAGGTAGCGCCCCAGCAGTGTGGCGTGGGTGGTGAAGATGGTCGCCACAGGTAGTCGCCGGGCACGGCACAGGCAGAGTCCAATGCCCGCCAGCCACTCGTGGAAGTGTGCAACCACATGCGGCTTCTCCTCGCTCTGGGCTAGGAACTGTGGGGCAACGGGACAGGGCGTCTTAAGAGAGTTGGCCATCCCAACATGGACGACAATTCAGGAGAGAGATCAATTTGTCAGCGCTACCGCATAGAGTGGGCAGTGGCCCACTGCAGCAATCCCCACAGGACATGGAACCATACACTCCCGAGGTAGCCAGACCAGCTGACTGTACCCCCAGAGGTTGATGGGAACTGGGAATTTTTTGGCCAGTCTCCTGAGTCTTTGCAAGGTTGGACTGAAAAGACTGACGTTTTTGTGTCCCCAAGTTCTGGGCACAATTCCTGGAGCGAGACCCCCTATCTTAAATCAAGGGTTGGCCTTCTGCACCCAAAACTAGCAAAAGGAATACAATTCCCAGAATGCTCTCACAGCAGCCAGCTCCTAAATTATTTGTCCCAGAGCATGAGAAATTAGCATTTATTGAGCCTTTTAAAACCTAGAAGGAGATAAGAACCAGGATTTCTGGTTCTCAGGCTGGGGTTCCATAAGCATTCAGGACCCCATCTGAGAGCTTAAGTCCAGCCAACAGAGAACTACAACTCCCAGAATTCCCTGGGCGAGCCCTCCAGCCTCACTCAGAGCTAAAGATTCAGAACCCAAACACTTGGAAGACTGGAGTAAATGCAGCTGGCATTGAGCCTTTGGGTCTCTGAGGAAAGATGAGGTTGGGGCCCTGGATGCCCATGTCCCCAAAGTCCAGAGGTAATCTTGGATTAAAGAACTCTACGATGCCCAGAGTGCCCTGGGAGATGCCCATCCTCTGGCCCAGGGGCTGATGGTCATTGTAGTTTCAGGCCTGGGAGGAAGCGAGTCAGATGGGGACCACAGTGGGGCCTACCTCACCCAGGAACCAGGTGGTGAGGAAGCCAAAGAGGACAGCGTCGTTGGCCTCACGGTCGTACCAGGGCACTCCGATGTTGCAGGTATCCCAGAGCTCTCCCTTCCAGCGCTCCAGGGCCCAGGCTGAGGCCCCCACATCCAGGAGCACCACCAGGGGCCCTCCCTCAATCAGCCAGCGCCCGAAATACACCTGCAAGTTAGGGGAGGGGTACACAGGGAGGCTCAGGGCTTTGGCCTCATGTCTGCCTGCATTGGTGGTTCTCCCACCCCTAGGCAGAAGTCTGGGCTTAAGCCTCAGTCCTCTCACCCTCTGTTTCTGTATCTGCTATTCATTTGTCTCCCGCTGCCTTACTTTTTTTTTTTTTTGGAGTCGGAGTTTCACTCTGTTGCCCAGACTGGAGTGCAGTGGCCACTTCCGATCACCGCAGCCTCAACCTGCTGGGCTCCGGCGATCCTTCCGCCTCGGCCTTCCAAGTAGCCGGAATTACAGGCATGCGTTGTTTTTTTTTTTTTTGAGTAGGAGCTTGCTCTGTAACCCAGACTGGAGGGCAGTGGCACACTCCCAGTCACTGCAGCCTCGACTTGTCTTTTTTTTTTTTTTTTAATCTGAATCTCACTCTGTCACCCAAGCTGGAGTGCAGAGGGACAATCACAGCTATCACAGTCTTGACGGGCTACCACAGTCTGGACCGGCTGGGCTCAGGCGATCCTTCCACCTCAGCCTTTCAAGTAGCTGTGATTACAGGCATGTGCCACCATGCCCAGCTAATTTTTTGATTTATTGTAGAGATAGGGTCTTGCCATGCTGCTCAGGCTGGTCTCAACCTCTTGGGTTCAAGTAATCCTCTAGCCTCTGCCTCCCAAAGTGCTGGGATTAGAGGCGTGAGCCACCATGCCCAGCCTTATTTCTTTATTTGTATGAATGATTCCCATCACATTCTTTTTCCATCTCTGTTGCAACATTTTCCTGGCCCCCCCACCCGCTGCCTCCTTTCACTACTTATAACCACATATGTCACATGTTTTTTGTGCCCCACTGCCTTGTTTTGCCACACTGCTATTAATAGTAATTTTTTCATTTCTCCTAGCCACCTTTTTTCTGTACTTGCTGCCACATTTCTCTCCAACCATCATGTTGTTTTCTCCCATTGTCTTCTGTTTCTGCTGCTAATTCCTTCCACCGGATGCTTCCTTCACTGTTCTCGCTGCCACATTTCTATCCCCCACTGCCTTGTTTCTGTCTCTTTTGTCACCTGTGACCTCTTTCTTGTGCCCAGAGACCCATTTTGTTGTCGGCAGCCACATTTCTTTTTTTTGAGTTGGAGTCTCACTCGGTCACCCAGACTGGAGTGCAGTGGGCGCTCCTGGCCACCGCAGCCTCGCCTCTGGGCTCCGGCGATCCTTCCCCCTCAGCCTTCCGAAAAGCCGGAATTACAGGCATGCGCTACCACACCCGGTTGATTTTTTTATTTATTGTAGAGAGGAGGTCTCGCTGCCCAGGCGGGTCTTGAACCTGTGGGCTCAGGCAATCTAATCACCTCAGCCTCCCAAAGGCGCGGGATTATAGGCTGAGCCACTGAGCCCGGCTTCTTTTTTTTTTTTTGAGTTGGAATCTCACTCTGTCACCCAGGCTGGAGTGCAGTGGCAAGCTCATGGCCACGGCAGCCTTGACCTGCTGGGTTCAGGTGATCCTTCCACCTCAGTCTTCCAAGTAGCTGGAACTACAGGCATGCACCACCATGCCTGGCTAGTTTTTTGATTTATTGTAGAGATGAGGTCTCACCAAGTTACCCAGGCTAGTCTCAAACCCTTGGGTTTAGGCAATTCTCTCATCTCAGCCTCCCAAAGTGCTGGGATTACAGGCTTCAGCCATCGCGCCTGGCTCTTTTTTTTTTTTTGAGTTGGAGTCTCACTCTGTCGCCCAGACTGAAGTGCAGTGGCCGCCCCCAGCCACCGCAGCCTCGACCTGCTGGGCTCCAGCGATCCTTCCGCCTCAGCCTTCCGAGTAGGTGGAACTACAGGCGGGCGCTACCACCCCCGGCTGATTTTTTGATTTTTTG